GAGTTCAGGAGGGTTGAGCAAAGAAGAGGGAAAGACTGGGGATGGTGCATCCTGGGATGCTAAAGGAATGAAAATAGTGTGCTTTTTTTCCCCAGAGCATATTTACAATACCCTGGAATGACCTGGGTAAAAGGATCAAAGATAAGATAACCTTCACCTGAAGTGGCATAACTTTAAATCAACATTTAGAGGGTACTTAACACAGGTTAACACCCTTTGATGAGTAAATGCTCCCATTTTAAGTGCCTTTAGGATGCTTTAAAGTTAACCATTTTAAAAATTTTATTTGCAGTTCATTTAACTTAGTTGCAGCACATTCCAAGGCCACGGCCATCAGACAGCGTGCTTTCCATGACCACCTACTGCCCTAAGAGCCACAATGCAGTTTGGACGGGCTGTGTGTATAAGGCCTGTGCCATTCCTGTCTTGATCCAAGTCAAAACCAAACCAATCCAAACTGCTTTAAATGAGACATCTGTTTATAGCCTGTGTTGTGTCCTGCCTCCTTCCATTATTCAGTGTTTGCAATGCCTTCAATCTTTATGAGCCCAAATTGTCAGGTCCTGATTATATTTTCAAATAAGGGATTAAGTGTTTGGGAATGAAATTTATCATGTGTGTTTTTAACATGTTTTTCTTCAATATTTTATAAAAATCTGGTCTGCTGCTTGATTTATCTACATATAAAAAGGATTCTTTTTTATATCAAATAAGAAATTCTTAAAATCAAGTTTAAAATCTTGAATGAGGATTAAGATTAACTTTCAGTGGAATTTAGGCTCCTAAATCTCTTACATGATTTTGAAACTGTAAACATTTGGGTAAGGAAACACTATTTTCTAATGCAAGTCATCCTGGGAATTATGATTTATGAGCTAAGGGTGAAAAAACTGGGATTATATAGTCTTGAGAAGCAAAGGTTGAGGAGGGACTTGATGACAGGTTTTTAAATGAAGGGCAATTATAATAAAGATGTTGATAAACTGTTCTCTTTGCCCACAGGAGGACAGGACAAGGAGCACCAGTCTCAAATTGCAGCAAAGGGAGTGTGCGTTCTCTATCAGGAAGAACTTCTGTCACTATGAGGAGATTAAGCATTGGAACAGATTATCTCAGGAGCAGGCAAAATGCAGCCCTCCAGGCAATTGCATCTGGCCCCCAGGGCCTTGGGCTGCCCCTCTGCAAACTGGCACATCCATGCAGGAGGTGCAGTTCTGATTGCTAAGCAACCCTCCCCCACCCAAGCCTGACCTGCCCTGCCCTCCTGCCCTGAGCTAGGGGGCACTAGAGACAAGAGCCTGGCTACCCCGTGCCTGTTTCCCGGCCCCCTGCCTGTGAGTGAAAATTCAGGTATGGGCCCCACTGGGTCAGG